CTTTTTTAAAAACTTAAGTTCCTTTACTTTTCTGACTCTTATTTTTCTCATATAGAAAATGGAAACTAATGGATCAGTGGATAATCAGCAATTTTTCAAGTTCTGAAATTCCTTTATAAATCAGTGACTGAATTTGTGTGTCTATATGTGTGTGTGTATGTGATTGCGTGTGCATGTGTGTAGAGGCCAAAGGTCAAGATCAGGTGTTTTCCTCAGTTGCGCTTCACTTTATTTTTTGAGACAGAGTCTCTCCGTGGTCCGGGGACTCACTAATTTAGCTAGACTGGCTGGTTAGCAAGCTCCAGGTGTCATCTATTTCATCTTCTCCAGTGTTAGGCACATGCTGCTGTGCCTGGGTTTTTACGTGGGTGCCAGGGATACAAACTAGGATCCTCAAGCTAGCATGGCAAGTACTTTGTGTGCTGAGCCATCTCCCCAGCCCCACAGTTAGTGACATTTAATGGCTGGAATCTATGTAGTCCAATTGCGACCAAATGTGTTTGGTTCCTAAAGGCTGGAAGTGACAGGGAAGGTGATTACTCTGCCAGGATATTTGCTGAAGAAAACACCAATATCTTTTTGTCAGTAACTATCAAGAGCTGCTGGCAATTCTGTGCCTGAATTTAGCGTAGGGTGGCTTATTTTTCTGGGTCAGACACATGCTAGACAAGTACTCTACTACTGAGATATATCTCCAGCCTATTACATATTATAAACTAAAGTGAGAGTAGAAACACCATGGGGCATGAGAGGAGACACAGCCATCCCACCTCCCCCACAAATGATGGATGCAAGCCGAAGACCTGGCCACTGTTAAACTCACCACATAAAGCAAGTGAAATCCAAAGATGTGTAGCCTTGGGCCAGGTGAAGAAGCACAGTCAGTGTAGTTATCTTCTATGTGGGTCTCCACAGGTTGTATGAGCAAAACGACATCACAATAAATACTCTGACATCTTGTTTCTGCTTACAAACAATTTGGAACAAACTAGGCATGGTGGCACATGTCTGTCATCCTAGGATTTAGAAGTGAGAGGCGGAAGGATTGTGAGTTAAAGGCCATCTTGGGCTACATGGTGAATTCAAGGCCAACCTGGGATACATAGACCTTGTGTCAAAACAAACAAACAAACAACAAACAAACAAGCAAACAGAAACTAAAAAACAAGCAACTATAAGACATGTGTTTATGTGTCTTTCCCCCAAACTCAAGCCTAAGCTCCTTGAATGTAGGAAGTATTGACTAAACCTTGCACCTGTGCCCAGGTATGTGCTCTCAATAAATATGCTAAATTATGAGTGAATAAACAACGGAAAAATCTACTTGGATGCATATAAGGGCATGCTAAATCATTTCTAAGTGTAACAACCTCTGAAACACAATTACAACAAATATTACTTCACACTAAGCATTTTCTGGCAGGGACTGACCTACAAAGGCGAACTTCCCAAGTCAGTTAGATGGATATGAACTATCTCAAACCTGGCAAGGGGTGACCTGCATCTTTAAGGTGTCATGCTAATATTGCCTCTTTACATGCATTGCACAGATTATAGTTTACGATCAAACTAAACTCTCTGGGACCACTGTTAAAATAAATAAATACATTATACCTATTTTGAAGTTTTATTAATCCAGGCACATGGGCTGGGGATATAGCTCAATGGTAGAGCACTTTCCTAGCATGAGCAAAGGTACAGTTTTGTTCCATCCCCAGCACTGAAAATAAATTTACATAAACACAATTTATATTGATTTTGATAATTTGACAAAGGAACCACAATATTTTGATTTTTAAAAACATTTTATGCTTTATGTTTTTGTTTGTGATTAGGACAGGGTCTCCCTGTAGTGCCAAGTGGCCTGGAACTCACTGTGTAGACTAGGCTGGCATCAATCACACAGATATCTGCCTGCCTCTACCTTCCAAAAACTGGGATTAAAGGTGTGAGTCATCATGCATGGCACATATGTTTTTTCTATGCTTGTTTTATGTTCAATAGCATTAACTCAAATAAAAATATTTATTTCCTCTAATTAAAGTTTCAAAGATTCTCAACAGGAGAGAAGAAAAGAACAGATTGGAAAAATAACAGTCAAGGTGTAGCTTTCCCAGAAACTGAAGAGATTATATATTCAGCTAGCACAAATTATTTGAATGGCTGTTTACCGAAGTATTATAAGATTAACTGCAACAAATTTGTACAACCCGAAATATTCATTTCTAATCATTGCTCAGTGTTGCAAAAAAGGCTTAGTTTTAAAATAAATATTCCGTTTCACTGGGTTCTCACATATCTATTGGGTAGCAGATGTTCTTGTTATTGTGTTTAGGGAAACCCACTTCTTGAAACGCTAGCTACGTAATTATTTCTTTCTCCAATGTTCAGGATGAGTTGATGGCAGAACTCGAAGAATTAGAGCAGGAGGAATTAAATAAGAAGATGACAAATATGAGGCTTCCAAATGCGCCTTCCACGTCTCTCCCAGCACAGCCTGATAGGAGGCCCAGCATGCCCTCGTCTGCACACCGATCGCGAGCAGGTCTGTTACCCACCAGGACCCAGGTGCATGTAGACTTCTAACATAGTAGCCAAGAATCTCGATTTCAGTACTTATATCTGATTTTATAAATAAACACATTTCATATGCAATTCATACGCATTTTCTATGTTGAACATATGCATGACACTAATGACAAATTGTTATCACTTTTCTGTTCCAGCATCCTCCAGGAGGGCAGAAGAAGATGATGATTTCAAACAGTTGGCAGCTTGGGCTACTTAAACTAAAATGGAAATTTTTGGACACCTAATTTAATGAACTATATATAAGATATAAAAAGTGTTTTTGTTAAGCTTAGAAGTTAGCAGAGACTCTGTTTTGAATGAATAATTGTCTTTTCAGTTAAAGAGCTGTATGTTGACACAGTCGAGGGTGGGTGAGGCTGCTTGTCTGCATCATATAAGATCCTTCCAGACTGATGGACTGGAGACCTGTCTGTCTACTTTGTTTGCTACTGTATTTCCAGTTCTGGCACATAGTTGATTCTCTCTATATATTTATTGAAAGAAAACTAAGTATCTACTGACATATTCCAGTTTATAAACCATGTATGAGGGATACCTAGGGTACTGGGAAAATTTCCCCATGAAAGCAAAATTGCTGTGTGCAGCCATATCATCCATGATAAATGTAGATACACAGACTTTCACGAAGTCTTCAGTGAGTCTATACATACATACTTTCATTTGAATTTCATAGTTTAAAGTCTTAAGGGAGCTTTAATTGGTATTTATTACTGCCAATTAAGCTTGGAGTGGGGCAATGGATGCATTTCCCCAAATGTCTGGAAAGCATTAACAGTTTACCCTGCTGAGCAGAGTCTCCCGGGTGTCATTTAGCCACTTAGGCAGCTGAGTGAACACAGGCCCCTCCAGGGCTGCTTGGCTTCACAGGAGTGCTCATTCTTTCCTGCCTTGTGCTCTCTTGCATTTTTGTTTTTCATACTTCACAGCATGAGCTTTGTAAATATATGAAAATACTGGTGATTGAAACCTATCTTGAGTAAAACTTTGTCCATAATTATACTTAAATGAAAATAAATTATAAAATCATATATTACCATGACATCACAGACCGTAAAATGACAAGTCTATGATGCAAGATGTTCTGGTATCCTCTTCATTCAGTGAGTGGTACAGTGGACTGGGAAGAGTGCCAGACTTGAAGTAGGAGGGCTTCAGTGCCTGCTCTGCAAAGGCACATCCGACTCTTGAGCTCTTGTTTTGGCTTTGGGAAATATAAGTGATGGAGTGGATGATTCCTGTCATCCCTGTTCTGCCACAGGTGCTTGGACTTTGCTGTTTATCTTGGTACTCTTCCGCCTTGCAGAACACACATGCCAAATTCTCCTCATTCTTTAAATGTTGGCTAAAATGTTCCATCTTGGGAAACTTTTTCATTTCTTAGACTAAATTAGGTCTTCCCACTGTACATTTTTACAGAACTCTGACTGCTCTGTGCCATCTCTTTATTATCTCAACTACATATTACCTGAATGCTTTTCCTTGCTGGCTCTGGCAACATGAGGAAGAGACTATATGTTTTCAAGTTCAATAGTCTAGTCCCAGTGTGCTGCAAAATCTCTGATGTACAGTAGGCAGTCCATTAATATTTACTCAATTAACGTTAATTGATAGAATAACAGGAGTTACCTTCTGTGTGCTTAAACAACTATAAAATTGGACAAAGCATATTAACAGTTTTCAGACACTGGACAAATGACAGCACTGAATGATGATGCTAAAGAGAAAGGAAACCAGTGGCATGAGCACTTCCAGTGCCCTGGCTTACTGCCTTCACAGGAAAGGGGAACTCTAACAGAGCCTGGTGGTTTTGCTGAGTTGAGGAAATTTGTGGGGAAGAGTCTTGGAAAGAGGGTTGTTACAGAGACAGCCTGCCTCTCTTTCTTTCTCTCTCTC